CGAAATTACAAAAAATTTTGCCTTTATCCAGAACCTCCTAATAGACCCCCAAGTAAGACTTTTAGTGCTCCTGTTAACTTAATAATGGTCCGTTTGAGATGACTATTGTTGGCTGTGAAAAATGGTTAACACACAAAAACACATGCATTGACATGTCCCTTTTACCTTTAGAATTGCAACTTTTAGTTGTTGTCACATATGATATAAACGTGTACTAGTTCTTTTTAATACCAATAGTTGGTGATAACATGTAGGATTCTTAACTTTGAAGGTTTACGGATTCAAATTAATAGACGTTTTGGCACTTTATTCACGAAATTCTGATCTGATTTATTTGCATGACATGAAAGTATGGTGTTGGGTAAATTTGCAATGAAACTATCGTACGCGACGAAATTTTTAAAGGTAAAAAAAATCGAAAGAAGACTATTTAGTCAATATTGAATCTTTCTGTGCAGCTTTGTTCAATTTCAGCAATACTATAGTAAGGATGAACCGCATCCTTGACGGCCCCCATCAGCAATACTATAGTAATTAGTTGTTGTGGTGGTTCGCTTCTTATTTGTTCTTTTTACTGTGTTGTCATAATTTGTCTTCAACTAGACTTAATAACTTATGATTACTCTGTCAGATGCACCTCTCTGTCGTTCTGTTTGTGTTTGTATATGAGCAATGGATGTTTAAACTTAGAACTGTATAACATTGTTGAAAGATGTCTGTCTTCATCCAGTCCTGTATATGTTTTTCTTCAAATAACAAAAAAAGGCTTCATGACAACTTTTTCAGTATTGTTTATTTCTAGTTGATTTTGATTTATGCATATTATTTTGGTATCATGTCCCATTCAGGTGGTTCGCTCTTTGTTTTTGACCGCAACGTGATACAACACTTCAGACAAGATGGCTATAGCTGGATGAAGGAGGCTAATGAAAAGCTCAAGGTCGGTGCCAAATGATGTTGCCCTGCTTATGATTTTTCATTTTACTGAGAAAAACCTAAAAAAGTTTCTTTTGAAGTGATGACCTTTCTAACTATCAGATAAAATAGTTTCAAAAAAAAAACCCTAAATCAGATATAAGAAGTTAGTCTTCTTGTAAATTATGTTGATACTTCCATAATAATACATCTGGAAGCATATAACTTTTCAGGTTGGAAGAATTGATGCATTAAAGTGCTACTATGCCCATGGAGAAGAGGATCAAAATTTTCAAAGGCGCAGCTATTGGATGCTTAAAGAGTAAGTCTGGTTTTATTAACTTTCATAATGTCAAAAATTTGTAACTATCAATTTATGATGATTGGATAAAAACGCGTAACAAATGAAGTAGCTCTTCTACTTTTCATTCTCAAGATTTGAAAAAGTTTACTTGTCCAACTTTCTAAAGCTGTTCGGTTCAATTAGTTCGACAATTTTCTGCCATTTACTGAATCGTTGATATGTTGAACAATTTAAGTGTTGACAGTAGGAAATTTTTTAATCCTCTATAGTGAGTTTTTTTCCAAATAAATGTCTACAGGTACTGGCCTTCTTTTCTTTGTCTTGTGGGTGGAATTAAATTAACATCTGATCTACCATTTATTTATTAATATTCGAATTTTTATTTTACTCATTTTTAGAATTCTCTTTGTTTTATTTTGTTTCTTTTGTTGTGTGTAGCTTATATAAATGAGGTCATATCTAGGATATCGGTACCTTTGATGTACTGTCACTAACACTGATATATTTTTCTCTTCAGATTGATTGTAGTAGTAGATTAATTTAGATTAGCTCTTATTCTACATCAATTAACTTTAGAGCCAAAACTAAATCTGGTAACATTGTCTCAGTAGGTTGAATCAGTATGATAGTTGAACAACCCTTACTGTAGAAATTGCAAAGGGACACTGTTGAAGGACTTTTGGATCTCTATGACATAGCACAAAATCTTCATGTTTTATATCCACTTTTGGCTTCCAGAGTTTCAGTAAGAAATATAGGTGTAAATTTTCGGAAGGTGTTATTTGGTATTAGTTCATAATTGGTGTTCCTTGTGGTCATTATGTCACTATGAGAGCTGGCTGTTTAGATGATTTTTGTTGCTCTAGATCTTCGTGCTGTTTCTACTAGGTTGCAATAGCACAATCTTCAATTCACTGGAGGAGAATTTTAGTTAATGGATGGAAACTGTAAAGAAAATAACGATTTGGATAGAAGACTATTTATTATTGGTTTTACTAATTATAGTTTATTGGATATTAGAATTTCCATGCATAGTAATTCATTATTTTAGGAATCCTTAGACAATACACTGTATTAAATTTAAGGACTCCTTGTAAATCAGGCTAGTTCTTTCTTTGAATGTATTTATGATCTAATTCATATATTTTTCTATAATTATATTTATATAGGAACAGTTTAGTTTAAATTAGCTCGTCCTGTGTCAGTGATTGTAGATCATGTATATGCATTTTCTCACCTACACTTGTGTTAAATTTGTCTGGCAACTGGATGTACTAGAATACTAAAATTGCTTCGTCTACTTGATTAGGACGATGTAGAAAGTGGTCTTATGGGATCACAGTACTTGGGTTCATTTTTTCATCCTCTCTACTTATTTTTCATCTTATTTGGAGGAGTCTGATATCTTTTAATTGCTGGTTTTAACTTCAGGTTGTCTCACCTAGTTTTTGTTCACTACCTGGTTGTAAAGGTAATGGTCCTTGATCGACGAAACTCGCAAATGCATGGTATCATAGACAAGTAATATATTGATAAAGTAAGTATCGTCCCAAAGAGACTATGAATAACCAACTTTTGATTGTGAATTTATACTAATCATCTAACTAAATTAAATAATTATTCTAATGATCAACTACGAATGCTTTTTGTAAGATTAGGTTAAACATGCACTAAGACTTTGAATTCCCCTTATTAATTCATTTAATACCATTCAATACCATGACATATATAATAATTCTTGTTGATCAATGATAGTTCATTTAATACTCTCTCGAGTGGAATTAAGTGACCTTCCTATATCTCTATAAAAGATGCGAACAAGAAGCATACATTAAAAATTTACGACACCTATTGAAATCATGCAAGGCATAGATATATCTCTATCTTCTATTGAACCTCACAACAATTGTTATAACGTGCTATCTATTTTATTATTTCTCTTGATAATAATAAAAATAATACATCAATTGAATTATTGATCAAATCACACATCAATCCAATTATTGATAAGGTAATTGAAAATCATTAAATTCTATAACAGTCATCCAAGAATAAATACATATTGAGCTTCAAAGTATTAAAATTGATAGTAGCATTACAAGGTTACAAGAATTCATGTTTGGTTTATAAGACATCACCTGGAGATGGGAAGAAAAAGAGGAAGAATCACAAATTATTGGATCTCTTCAATAGTTCTTGTTTGGTCTCTAGCTGCACCTTCGTCTTCTTTGCTCACGAATTATGGAATGTTCAAAGGATTGCGTTCTTGTATCTTGCTTCTTGAATTCTCCCTAAAGAATAGTTATTTTGCCTCCTGTATTGTATGATATGAGAAGTATCTTGCAATGTTGGATGCTGTTATGTACTTAAAGAGGTTGAAATTTGGTCAAAATCCATGTCTTAGGTGGTTGCCATAAGGAGTTTTAATCAAAGAAGGAAATTGTCCCCGTCTGCTACAATGAACTATAATTTGGTTTTGCGAAGGCATTCCTGGCCTTGACTTGAATCTAGGTCTTCATGTACATTTCTTTCTTTGAATACTAGTATATGGCATCCTTGGTATTTTTTGGGCAGCTGCAATGTTTATAAACTTCCCGAAATATTTGTTTCCTTTCAGGAAAACAGAACAAATTTCAAATGTTATAGGGAGTCTGAAGTTATTCCTGATTCCCAAAAACCAAGAGAAAATATACACAACTCCCAGGTTGAAAGTTCTGTATTTTCAGAAATCCAACCAAATAGCTATGAAGGAACCTTGCAAGTTACGGATCCTGCTAGCCTCGACAGTGCTCATGCTTCTGAGTTTGAAAATGCTGAATTAGGTATTCTTGCTGCGCATTTCTCACCTTTTCACTATACAGTATTACAATCCATAAAGCTGCATTGAAGTTTTCACTTTTCATTTTTTCTGTAATTAAAGTACTCAAAAAAATCATTTATATTCATAGTCGTCACTAAAAAAATTGTATCTGCAGTGTATTGTCACCAACAAAGTCCAGGATGCCAGTCTTTTGACAATGTAATGCAACCTGTGGTACAGAAGATGAGAGATGGTTCAATTCCTTACTGTGATGTCCCTATATCAGGTAATGCATCGTCATCCATTTTTCCGGTTGCAGCATGAACCATTAGATGATTTCACTTTCATGGTTAGTAGGACCATTTCTGTAGCCATATCATTTTTACCCTTTAGTTCAAAATTTTGGACATTAGTGGAGACTACCTGACTTACCCTAGAGACTCGACCAAATACAAGGAGCATGTAGTCATAAAGGTTGCTAGGGAGTTCGGGGTTATGCCCATGTGTGGTGTGAGGACCCTCGAGCCTAGTGAATCTGTAGTAGATGCTCGAAACGGGGAGATGAATTTTTTCAGAGATGCCCTTAAGGTCGGGCTAAGATGGCCTCTCCACCCTTTCTTTGTTCATTTCCTCAATTTTAGTCTAATGTGCTCGAGTCGGTCCCAAACAGTTGGAGGTTGTTGGTCTATTTTTTTATTTTGTGTAGATGTCTCGACATGGAGCCAAGACTCGACCTCTTGAGGACAGTATTCGACCTTAAGTTATCGCCTAGGTATAATTGTTTCGCCTATTTATAGACCAGGGGTGATTTAGGACACCCGAAACCCCGAGCTCTCTTCGGATGGAAGGGAAGATTCTTCTTTGTCAAACCTCAAAACCCCGACCATGTGTTTAGATCGATGTGGGAAATCCCGAATAAGGATAGGTTCAATGAGGGATAAGAGTACGTCGAGGTTTTAGAAAGGGATAGGTTAAGGTTAGTCAATTACAATCCCCTTGCAGATAAGATCGATTATCTTCTCGAAGATGACACCCTCGACCTTGCAACGTAAGAGGGCTCAAGGGTATGCTCATCTCTTCCTCTGTTTTTATCAATCTCGACCAGTAGTTCGATCTAATGCCTTGGCGATATTTTTTGCAGATTTGAAGATGTCTTTTAACCCGGCTGCTCTTCTTGCAAGCATTAAGCAGAAGGCGAAGCGCAAGGTGCCCATCCCTTCAAAAGGAAAGAAGAGAGGTCGAGAGCCTTCATCGAGCAAAATTCCTAGTGGGCTCGGGCAGTCCTCCAAGGGCCCAACACCACGACCTCAGCCATCACCCCGTCTATTATCTCGTGCCTCCACTCCGCTAAGGGTTCCAGAGATCATAGACCCGGAAGGGGACGCTCTCCTTCTACAATCAATGCTAGAAGATCACACTCGGTGCCCCCTAATCCCGAGCTTGGTGGCCAAATATCAGGATGAGGTCGATCCTGGTGAGGGGGTGAGGTCTCTGGAGCTCATTATGTTGAAGGTATGCTTTTGACTTCGAGCAAACAACTTTTCTATCAAAAAAAAAAAAAAATTGTTTCTCAATATGATGTACTCGATCTTGATTCTTATCAGGCCCTGAGCATGGTCCGAGGTCTAGCCATGAAGAGCCTGGGCTCTTCGAGCAAGGTGGCCGAGCTCGATGCCCAGAACAAGGAAAAAGAGAAGCGGATCCGAGAGCTCGAGGTTGAGCTCAACCAGGAACGCATTAAGATCAATGAAGCTTATGATTGGACAAGGGAGGCCAAGGATGACGCTGAGATGGCCAAGCTCGAGCTTATACAAGCGAAGAAGGAGTTCGAGGCCCAGCTGGTGAATGCTCGAGCTCAGGCAGTTGAAGAGTTTAAAAAATCAAAGGACTACGAGGCACAACTCGGGCAATATGGGAGCGGCTCCTATTTTTATGCTCTGCAGCTAGCTCGGTCATTCCTAAGGACGAAGCTCCCCGATGATATGAAACAAGTTGTTGAGGAACTGAAGTCGGTCAACAAGCTTGTTGGTGTGCTCGAGCTATCATCTTCCAACGTCGAGGGTGATGAAGAGGGCTTGGAGGAGGTCGATACACCAGACGAGGTGAATTCTATAGACATCACCGCAGTTGACTTATATTGGAACTAAATGTAATGTAATTTGCCCGAATTGGGGTTTTCTGATTAATATTAGCTCGATTTTTTTTTTTGGTCATCGATCTTAAATATTTGAACGAACTTGAGCTCAGTGTTTGCACTTGATGAAGAGGTAGCTCGAGCGTTTTATCTATCTATGTTTAGTTTAGGCTAGCTCGAGCCACGTTTAAAACTGTGAAATTAAGGAAAGATTGGAAAATATTCTTTTCTCATATTTCTATTGGAAACAAACGATACACACACACACACACACACACACATATATATATACAAAACCTAGGAACTATTTTAGGAAAATATGTAAATAAGGAATCTAGAATTAAGCTAATTAGCTAGCTATAAACAACTAATTACAATCTATAACACTCCCCCTCAAGTTGGAGTATAGATATTAATCATGCACAACTTGTTACAAAGGTAATCAACCAGAACCCCATTGAACGTTTTCGTGAAGATATCCTCTAATTGTTCTCCAGTCTTCACATACTCTGTAGAAATCAAACCTTGTTGGATTTTCTCGCAAACAAAATGACAATAAATTTCAATATGCTTAGTTCGCTCATGAAACTCATGATTAGATGTAATATGAAAAGCAGCTTGATTATCACACCACAGTTTTGCTGGTGCTGAAGTTTTAAGACATATTTCAATCAATAACTGACATATCCACATTATCTCACACACAGACTGTGTCATAGCCCTATATTCTGCCTCTGCACTCGATCTTGACCCAACGGTCTGCTTCTTACTCTTCCATGAGACCAGATTCCCTCCAACGAAAACACAATAACCTGATGTGGATCTTCTATCCACTTTGGAACCTGCCCAATCTGCATCCGAAAAACATTCAATACGAGTGTGCCCATGATTTGCATACAAGATACCTCGTCCTGGTGCTCATTTCAAGTAGCACAAAATCTATTCTAGCGCTTTCCAATGACGAACTGTGGGGGATGACATAAACTGACTAACAACACTGACAGAATACGCAATATCTGGGCGAGTCACCGTAAGATAATTTACAACCAACCTTCTATATCTCTCAAGATCTTCAATGTGTTCTCCATTGCTTGTAAGGTGCATGTTTGGAGTCATTGAAAGAGAGATCCAACCTGGCACTTACTGGATCAAAGACATGGATGGTAAGATCCAACGTCATCCGTGGAATATTGAACATCTAAAATGTACTATCAATGAATGAAATCCACAGCTGGAAGTTTTTTCCCAGCCTTTGAAAATAAATAAATGTTTCATCTTAGGAGAATCTTCAAGTGTGGGCTCCTCGGAGGAGAGGTTGGAGCCCCAAATAAAGGGCCACCTCGTTGGGACTCCAAGGTGTACATCACATGCCTTCCTTTGACGAGGCTGAACGTCAAGGGAGAAGCCTTTACTTGGATGAACCATCCTCCAAGTAAGGAAGCGTGGGCGCCTCGGAGGAGAGGTTGGAGCCACAAATAAAGGTCCACCTCGTTGGGACTCCGAGGCATACATCACATGCCTCCCTTTGACGAGGCTGAACGTCAAAGGAGAAACCTTTACTTGGATGAACCATCCTCCAAGTAAAGAAGCGTGAGCGCCTCGGAGGAGAGGTTGGAGCCCCAAATAAAGGGCTACCTCATTGGGACTCCGAGGCGTACATCACATGCCTCCCTTTGACGAGGCTGGACGTCAAAGGAGAAGCCTTTACCTGTATGAACCATCCTCCAAGTAAGGAAGCGTGGGCGCCTCGAAGGAGAGGTTGGAGCCCCAAATAAAGGGCCACCTCATTGGGACTCCGAGGCGTACATCACATGCCTCTCTTTGACGAAGCTAAACGTCAAGAAAGAAGCTTTTACTTGGATGAACCATCCTCCAAGTAAGGAAGCGTGGGCGCCTCGGAGGAGAGGTTGGACCCCAAATAAAGGGCCACCTCGTTGGGACTCCGAGGCGCACATCACATGTCTCCCTTTGACGAAGCTGAACGTCAAGGGAGGATCTAAATCCCTAAAGGTGGTGAGGCGAAAGAGCCTCAAAATAAAAGCATTTGAGAGCCCTCCATCAAGATAGTTATCGAATTTCAGTCAATTAAGGTTAATACTCAGTTTTATCTTACCAGATCGGTTATTCGATTAAAGTTTATACATCTCGTTGCGATATAGTATAAATGACAACACATAGAACCAAATACAAAAAAATTTCCATTCATTAAAAAGTTCCAGTTATATTCAGAGGCCATAGGCCTTGCGGAATTTTAAGTTGAATTAGGGGGTGGGGGAGCTTGAGCTTTGATGATAGGAACTTCTGTTGATGGAGGCTGAGGCACTTCTGCAGTTACATCATCGGGCTCAATTTCTATTACTTCCCCTTCTTCAGCTGGGGTCTGAGTAACCTCCTCATCAATGAACTCTACTTTGAGTTCAGAGACATCTAGTTCTAGATTAAGCTCATCAACCCTTTCAATCACCTCTTTATAAGCGACCCTACTCCAATAAATAGCGAAGCGATGATACTCTTCAGTACGATGAAAATTAGCAATGTAGTTTTTCACCGCAATCTCACCTGCTTCAAAAACGTCAACTTCGTACTTCTTCACTTCCGAGGCATATTACCTTATCTGCTCCTCCATGAAGTTATTGGCATCCCTGAACCCAGTAAGCTCTAGGTTCACCTTCTCCAGGGCCTCGACGGTGACCTTTTGGTGATTATCAGATATTTCAACCTTCTTTGTAAGGGCAGCCACCTTACATTGAGACTCGTGGACCTTCTTTTTCAGAGCCTCAACCTCAGCTAAAGCAAATTCTAATTTGGCCTCGTTTTCATCCTTTTGGACCCTCAGCTCAATGGCTACTATTTTTTTCTTTTTAAGCTCCGCTTCAACTACAGCCAGCTCGTCACGCGAGGCTTTGTTCCTCTGTTGAATATCAGAAATAACTGTCTGACATTCCAGTACCGCCCCAAAAAGCCTGGCGGTTTGGCTCACTAAAGTGGCAGTGAGATCCACTGCATCGCAAGTAACTATATAGTTCTGCCACCTCTTAGTCCAGAACCTATTAAACGCCTCGGTGGCGCTCCTCACTTCAGAAGGCAACATTTCAATCAAAGCAGGGGCTATCTTATCATCCCTGCCTCCCAAGAAGTTCCCAGACTTCCCTGAGGTCCTCTCAACTGGGGCCTTTTTCGTGACCTCAGAGGTTGGTAGCTTATCCTTCTTCCTCATTGGCCTTTCGAGATTGTGCCACTATCGCAGCATTTATTGAGGACTGAAGGAGCTTCGGTTGCTAGGTACATCTTTCTCAGAATGGGACACTGAAATCCCAAAACTTGTAGAAGATCCACCTACGTGGGCTAACTTTCTTTTCTTCTGGGGCTCTTTGGCTACACCCTTACCTTTGCCGACAGTTGGCTTACCCCCTTCGAGAGCTTCCTTAGGGGCCTCCTCCTCAGCTCCTTTCCCAAATTTGTCCTTTCTGAGGCGATCAAGCCTCGATTTCACCTGCTTTGCCCCTGAGTAGGAAGGCTTTAGTGCCTTGGCGCCAACAGTGGTCGTGGCCTTCATGATACTGGCCATATCGGCAGAGTGTACTCTTTCTTGGCAAACTTATCTACAACCATCAGAAGAAAAGTTAGATTGATGAAGCGGTGTAAAGGTTCAAAGTTAGATAGCCTCTTACCCTTGGGGACCGTCAATCCAAAGTCGACGAAGTATTGGTCTCTGTCTAGAAGATGGGCAAAGTTTTGAAGCTTTGGAGATCGTTTGTAAATGTCTTCGATAACACCCCAATCCGCTTCAGTCAGCTCGTGTATAGAGCTGGAATCTGCGAATAAACCAATAAGGGAGTTAACACCAAGAAGCTATATAGAAATCACGGATGTTCAAGACGAGGCACTCACAAGCTTCGTAGTGCTGGGTAGCACGGTACAGGCTGGGACGGCATTTCCCTCAACCATCTGCCACCTACCCTTCACCCAGAACCAGGACTCCTTCCACCCCTTTATGGAGGAGGGGAGCCCATATGCAGAGGCATGTCCTCGCTCAGGGACACCTCCTTCTAAAGGAAATAGGTCTGAATGACTTGACTCGATCCGTTCGACAAAATTTGGGTGGGGGACAACATGAAGGTCCTCAGCATTGCCCTATGGAAGGGATGTAGAGGCAGACACACACCCGCTTTAAGCAGGTATTCACTGAAAGCCATGCAACCTGGCCTCTGAAAATAGGCTCGTTAGTGGGGCTCAGGGACTACCAGTTCTATATAATGGGGTATGCGGTAGGTCTTCCTAAACTCGGCTAACTTGGAAGTAGTTATGGAGGATGGAATCCTAACTGCCCCCCAATTTGCCTCATAATCTGTAGACTCCTCAGTCATACTATACCATTGGCCCGAGGCTTTCGACACAGACTCTTCCCCGCACCTGACTACTGTAATAGCCGTTGACACCTCAGTAGGCATTGCAATTAAAGAAGACGATGAAAAAATTATAGAAATGCTAATGAAAGGTAGAGAGAATACTTCTTTATGAAAGAATACCTAAATAGATGAGGTACTTCGAAGTCTAGCTGGAAGATGGTAGCCGAAAAACTCTCTGGTAGCAAAAAAACTTGAGAAGATTTGATGAATGTTTCACAAAGGTAAAGTATAGAAATGACAAGATTTTGGATTTTATACAAATGAAGGATTCAATCCTGGCCATTGGATCGAAACCCAGTTGATCCGAGGAGTCCAACATTAAACAGATCTAAGCCGCAGAGTATGAACGGTTTGCATTTCCAACGCCTCAGATCGATCCATGTGTCCTACAAGTATGGCTTGGCGCGTGAATATTCTCCCCAAAACCACGCATCCTAA